TTGAGGAAGCTTATAAATCATATGGTTGCAATGGCTATTGTTCTATTTCTTAACTGCTAGCAAAATATAGAGATCTTAAAAATAGTTACAAAGAAGATAGATAGAAAAATAGAAATAATGGTACCAAGTAACAGCTTACTCTTTCTATGTGTACACTTAAGACAGAGGACCACATCCAGGTACAATTTTTACCCCCTTCTGTGCCTCTCGACTCCAGCATGTCAGGCCAGGGCCGGTCCCTCAATTCCTAGGAAAGACGAAAATACGAGGTGGGCGTCCCCATAGAACCTTGGGAGGTCAAACACCTAACCCGACCAGCAGGTAGAGGGTAGAATGACACTCCAAGTGAGTGTGTGCTGGACCCATCTTTTATACCCATTTTGGGTCACGTATTTCTCTTTCTTATCTGTAATGCCAAATAGTGCTGGTCTGCCTTTTGTGAGACCAGTTCTTACAAGAGAGTTGTGAACTTAATTTACACTTGTAAGAGAGATAACTAAATTGGAATTACTGGGGGATTCTTTTCTCAGTGGGAAATTCCTCTCCCAGGGACTGTGTGTGTGTTCGAATCAACATGGGTGCCAGCCGGGGCAGTTCTCGCAGCCTCGAGGCCAGCTTATTGACTTAATTGCACTCTCTCCACATATCTGTTTTCAGCTCCTCAGGATCAGATAAGCCAGCATAGACTATGCTGATATTATTGCTCCTTCTCTGTCCTGTATGCTTCAGGAACCTCAGAGAGGCAAATAAGATGGATGAGATGGGGGGAGCGGTCTGTCTGGCTACAGGCAGTGCAAGCTCAGTGTGAAAAATACCCCTCTCGGGCTATGTCTAGACTGCAAGCCTCTTTCGAAAGAGGCTTTTTCGCAAGCAGTACTTTCGAAAAAGAAAGCCGCTTTTTCGAAAGAAAGCAGCGAGTGAGTCTGGATGCTCTCTTTCTAAAAAGCCCTGTTGGCATTCAAGAACGCCTTTTTTCGAAAGAGCACTTTCAAAAAAAGGCGTTCTTCCTCGTGAAATGAGGTTTACCGCCGTCGAAAGAAAAGCCGCGTTCTTTCAATTTAATTTCAAAAGAACGAGGCTGTAGTCTAGACGCAGGTGAAGTTTTTTCGAAAAAAAGCTACTTTTTTCGAAAAAACCCCTGAGTCTGGACATAGCCTCGATGCCCTGTCAGAGGGTTTGGGAAGTAGAGGATGGGATGAGGAAATCAGTGCCCCCCAGAATGTCTGCATGAGTGGGATTGTAAACAGCAACTCCACAACACTGGGGTATGTTTACGGGGGAAGGTAGCACTGAGCAGCTCTCAGCTCATATGCCCGGGTGACTATTTTCATCCACAGCCTGGAGGCTCAGTTCTGAAGCTGAACTCCCGCAAACTGGAGGTTTCCTCAGACATATTTTTATTGTAAACATCCATGTCCTCTTAAAATGGGTTTCTGTTGAATGACAGTTGGGAGAGGGGAATGACTCAGCAGAGTAACTCATGCTGACGCACTCAGGAAGTCCAGCTTTTTAGGTTTCCAGGCCACTAACAAGTGTTTTTAAAAATACCTTCTGCTCATTAAAATGGGGTTTCCGGGACTAAGCTCCCTGTTCCCTCGCTCTGTAACTGAATCTGGGCTCTGAGCCACTCTACTGCATGAGCGGCTGGCTAGTTATAGCGTAGCGGCGCTCTCAGGGATGAGCCAAATGCTGGTCTCCTGAAGTAGGATTTACAGAGCAGCCAGGCTGTCTCAGGCACTGCTCATTTCCAAGTGTCTCCCCAGCTCACATTTGAGCAAGTCAGTGATTTTTCTGGGCTCTCCAGCAGTGGATGTTGCCATCATGTCATTGGAGGAAAGTGACTGTGACCTTACAGTAGTGCTGGAGGGTGTTTCACTGTGGTGCTGCTCAGTGTTTATGAAACCAGTCACTCCTGGGACAAGCCAGTGGCTCTGCCATTTAGAAGGTACCCAGTGGTCTGGAGAGAATGGAATGGAGGCCTGAGTCTAAGGGTATGTCTACACTACAGGGTTTTTTCAGAAAAACGGCCATCATCTCTCAGCATCTCCCAATTGCTGCTTAGCTTGGCAGGCATTTGCGTCTTCTCCCCTTCGGAGTTTGGAAGGATCAAATGGGGCTGCTCAAGAATGCCTGCTCTGCACACCGGTCCTTCAAAAGCCAATTACCTCAGCGTCCTAAACTGAGGAGGGAGGGAGGTGTTAGCTATTTCCCCCAGGATGGGGATGAGGGGTGGCATACATTTATGCTGGTAGAAGTTTGAGTGTTAAGAATGGAAATCAGCCTAATTATGATCTGTGGGTAGCTATTCTTGACTGAGAGTTAAATTGCATCCACCTTTTTCTTTTAAACGCAAAGCATGTTCTTAGCAGCTGGGCCATCCTGAGGGAGTAGGGTTGCCAGGTGTCCAGTATCGAACTGGATAGTTCGGTATTTTTGCCTCCTGTCCGGTAAAAAAATTCAGAAAATACTGGACACCTAAAATGTCCGGTACTTTCTGCTTTTTTCCCAACCAGGAGGTGAAAATCCCTGGCTGTCCGGCTCAATACAGAGGCAGCCTGGCAACCCTAGGGCTTACTAGGTTCCACAGGGGAGCGCAGGGAGGCAAGATGGCAGGTAGCCACTGGCAGCTTGTTAGGGCCATGCTGTTGGGTTTTTTTTTGGTTTTTTTGCTTAAAAACTCTCAGGGTCTTTTTTTTCGATATTTTTTCTGAAATCATCTGGCAACCCTGTGAGGGAGTGGTGTGGATCCTTGTCCAATCCCCCCTAAGGTCCAGGTGAGGGACCTGACACAACAACCTCCCACTGCAGGTCCCGCTCCCACCCCACTGCTCTGCCCTTCCACACCGCATCACCCTCCTGGGTGCTCTGGTTCCTGCTGCCACTCAGAAGCAGAGCACAGCAAGCTGGTGGGTGGAGCAGGCTGCTCCAGATCTCGCTGCAGTGGTAAGTGCAGGGGGACCCCTGCTGCCATTGCGCCAGGCCCCTGGCCCCAGATAATCTCATGGGACATGTCTGTAGGATGATTGGGGTGGCCACCATGGGGTCCCCAAAAGCATGGGTGTGTGGAGTGGCCGCCCTGAACCATGCTATGGACGGGATGGCTCCGGTTATCAGCAAGGAAGGAGAATAAATGTTAGCTGCACTCTCCCAAGCCCTGATTTATACCTTTCCACAGGTGGGTGTTGATAACCTATAAATGTCCCACAGCCAGCAGAAAATTCCATAGTAGGGTATGTCCCAGGTTTCATAGGATGTCAAATGGAGAAGATGCTGAAGGGACTTGGTGAATCAACACATTGCCAGAACAGAGAGCTAGTGATCATTCTTTGGTCAACACCTCCCATTTATGGGGCTCTGGCAACCTGTACAGGTCCCTTGGCAAAGGGGAATGTCACCTGCTTTCTGCATTCTACCAGAGTCAATGATGGCAGACGGTAGAGTAGGCTCTTTGCTGATTTGGGGGCAGAATCGTTCTTTAGGGCATTTCAGGACTTGCTGTTTAAAGAGATTTAACTGTTTAAACCCAATAGGAAAACAGGAATGAACAATGATGCTCATGGGAATGAGTGTCTCATATTATTGGATGCTCCAGCCCTCACTAGCCTCAGGATTTTCACTGGATCACACTGTTCCCTCCCCATCCAGAGCATTTTAGTTTCAGTGAGAACTGTGCCTCTAATGAATTTCTGAATAAGACTTCAGGTTCCAGATGCAATGGGTGCATTTATCTTTGTTTAAGATGAGATACAGATGCTGTTCTGGGTTGTGACTGACTTTTAAGAATGTTTTCCCGTCAAAGAACGCAGTGATTTATT